TTCCTCTGTTTTACCCTCTTCTTTGACATGAGGTTTCGTCGTTGTGTCTTCGATCTTGTTTGGTCCTTCCACTTTTTCGATGAGACTGGATAGCGATTTTCTTGCTGGTTCTTTCTCTGTTTCTTCAGATTCTTTTACTTCTGAAACCAAATCCTTAATGTTCTCAGATTCTTTATCTTTTTGCTCCAATTCTTCAGCAACCTTTAGGTTCTCTGGCTTCCGAATTGGAACTTCCTCTTTTTGCTGCAAAACGAAGATAAGATTTTGTTTTTTAGGTGACTTGGAAGAATTTGTGATGCAAAAACAGAATGATATTACCAAAGTAGCTTTTACCTTCTTCGATTCAACTTGTGCTTTGGTTACAGTAGGCAAGTTTTCGATCTCCTGCATCTCGGGTTTTGTTTTCTCTCTAGCACCATCGGTGTTCTTTGCACCGTTGAAACGTTCTTGTGTTGTTTCCTTCTGCAAAACAAGGTTTCTTAAATATTATTTTCTGCACGGCAAATATCTCTTAGTATAGATGATTTTGAAAACAAAAACAAAACTACTGGCTGATTTCTTTTTCATACCTCTTCTTCTCTGATCTCTTCCTTTTTAGCACTTACGGTATCTGTTTGCTTACTCTCCTCTTTTGTCGCGTTGTTCTTCTGCATTGCCAATTTCATATTAAGTAACTTGGTTAGCAAAAAACCAAAAAAAAGAGATGATTAGTAGAGCTATAATATCGAAGTTAGGTAAAATACTTATGTCTCTTTGCTTTTAATGTTACCTCGTCTATGGAAACTCCATGTTTGATTGCATCTTCAGGCTCTTTCTTCACATAATCAAACTCCTGCTTGTCCTCTATTATGCATGTTTCTTCCTTTTGTCCTACAACTGGATCCGGTTTAACATTTGTACCATTATCTTCCTGGACATATGCGAGATCATTCGAGTTCTCCTCTTGTTCAGATGTTTCTTTATCTGTCACAGGACCTTCAAAGTTCTTCGGCTGATCTTGCACTTGCAAGTTTTCTTTCGTTATCAAATCATTACCACTTTCTTCCTTTTTATCTTCTTGTGCCTTCTTGACTTCAAAGGAAGTTTCTCCAACCTTCTCTTCTAATAGCGGAATGGGAGATTTATGCGACGAAATGAGTTCACTTGGCTTCGGTTCTGTTGAGGATGGAACCTGAAGCTGCTCACCTAATGCTTCTTTTGTGAGAGATTTATCAGCACTAACCTCTTCTGTTTGATCCTTTGGTTCTTGTTCTGTTAGAAAATCTGTATCACCATTGTTATTTGTATCATTTAATATCGCTTGAGATTCAACATGTTCTTCATTTGATTCTTTCTCAGCTTCACTCGGCGGCTCTGTAATTTGCTTCTCCGATGCGGCTACCTCGTTGATCTCCTCTTTTTCCACATCTCGTGGAACAATATCATGATCAACTCCAAGCTCACTCGCATCTTCTTTATCCTTCTTCACTTCCGATGAAATTTCTTCGCTTTCCCTTGTGACATAAGGACCCCTACTCTTCTCATCTTGTACCTCCTCATTCTTCTTGTCCTCTTTGGTATCAACAATTTGATCTTCTTCTTTAACAGTTTCATGAGTCTTTGCTTTCTGCTCGGTCTTAGGCGGGTCTGCTGGTAACTCGGACTCTATGACCTGATTAGAATCATCTCCAACTGTCTTAGAAATTTCAAAATCTCTAGGGTGCTCTTCTTGTAGCCTTATCTTCTCCGCTGTTGTAGCATTGGCAACTTGTAGTGCGTTGCGTTCTTCTTGATTTCCAACAGAAATCACATGCTCTGGCTCTACAATCTCTCTGGTTTCTTCTTCTGGTACCTTTACCTCTTCTTTATGTTCCTCTTGCTTGAGTTCTTCTATTGGAAGAGATTTCTCTGCAAGACCATGGATTTTTTCTGTTTCTCCACTATCATCATGTTGTAACTTGTTTGCTTCTATGATCTCAGAAGCAGGGGCTTCTTCCTCTGCGGCTTTCATATCCTTTTTTTCGTTAGCTATATCGGTAGCAAGATTCTTCTCCAAGGTTTCTGGCTCTTCCTTGATTGAATGCAAATCATTCCCACTTGATTCAGCCTCAGTTTTTTGTACTTGTTCTGCTGGCTCTTTTATCAGGTTTTCCTCCGATGATGTAGAATCGTTAATTGCTCTCTCATTCTCCAATGTAGTTTGAAGTTGTGTCAAGATTCCAACAACCGGAAGAGTTGAACTTGTCTCATCTCCATGCTCTGCCTCCCCTGTTTCCTTTGAGAAAGTAAAGTCATCTGAATTTTCGTTCATTGGAGGATCTTGTTCTTCGATAATTTCACCGGATTTTAGCGTTTGTGCAGAAATATGTTGTTCCTCTTGTGTGTCACCTACACATTTTCCTTCTTGCACTTGATCGTCTTCGCGAGAAGCCAACATGGAAACTGGAGCTTCACTGAATGACTCTCTTGGAACTATTTCTCTAGGGATGATTTCTTCATCTTCATGAATCTCTTCAGTCTGCTTTGGAGTTTGGTCCTCTAGTCCAGCAACTAATGTAGAGGAAGGAGTCTGATGTTCCTGTGATGTTTCGACTGGAAGATTCTTATCACTCTTAGCTTCTTCCTTGTGTGCTTCCTTTGTTTCTTCTTCTTCATGAATCTCCTCTACTTTCTTCAAAGTCTGATCTTCATGTGATGCTTCAACTGGAAGATTCTTATCACTCTCTTCCTTGTGTGCTTCCTTTGTTTCTTCTTCTTCATGAATCTCCTCTACTTTCTTTGAAGTCTGATCTTCATGTGATGCTTCAACTGGAAGATTCTTATCACTCTCTT